TTAATCAGGTAGAAATCGGAAACGCCGTCAAAAATTAAGGCTGGGCGCAGATCCAGAAAAGTCGAAATTGGACCCGCGCGGACGGAAATCGGATCCACCGAAACAAAAACCAAAACAACAATTGGACCCGCTCGACCTTCATGAGATCCGACGGCGGTTATCTCATACGCGCTTGCTCAGGATCTGGGCCTAAGAACCCCCCCCCCAAAAAAAAAAAAAAAAAAAAAAAACGCTCGTCCTGGGGATGTAACGGGCGGGTCGGGAAGGCGGGCCCACGCGGCCAGGTCGAGCAGGGTGGTTGCTGAAGCGTGCGTCCTGCAGTAATCGCGAGGAAGTCTCGAGCGATAGCGCGATTCCAAAAAAATCGTCAGGGAAACCACAGCGAGGGCGTGAATCCTGAGCGTCGGGGGCGCGGCGCCTGAATAAATGGGGAAGAAGTCCCACGCGAGAGCGCGATCTTTGTACAAATTGGGAGGACGTCCCGCGCGAGACCCAGATTTCTTAATAAACTGTGTGGAAATATGAATCGGAAGCCGTTGTTGTCGTAAATCGGGGGCCGGGGGCGCAGTTTGAGGCTCAAGACTTCCCCTGACAAAACAGGTTGCGAGCTCCAAAGAAGGGCACTTCAATTGAAAAATGCAATGTGCACCGGGCACGGGGGATCAACAAGAATTATTCTTTAGAAGTGAGACAACAGCAGCAGCAACAACAACAGCAAAAATACTGTCAACCATGTTCGTTGTTACCTGCTCGCGCGCCACGCAACACGTACATCCCAAACCCTCGATACCCGCCCTCTTGGTCTTCGGTCGTAGAGTACGAAAGAGATTAGTAGGAAGGGAGCTAAGAACAGAAAACATGTGGCAAAATGAAACGGGCTGATCGGGCGGGTAAACCCGAACGGGCGGGTTGAGAAGGCGAGCCCTGGCGGCCAAGTCGAGCAGGCGGGTTGCTGAAGCGTGCATCTTGCATAAATCGCGAGGACGTCTCGAGCAATAGTACGATTCCAAATCTTTTTCTATATATATGTACATATATATGTGTTATCTTATATGTATTATACAAAAAAATCAAAATCATGAGAGTCGTGGGCGCGGCGTCTGAATACATTGCGAGGAAGTCCCACGCGAGAGCGCGATTCCTGTGCAAATGTCTGATGAAAGTCCGGCGCGAGAGCGCGATTTCGAAATCGGTTGTCAGGAAATAGCAGGCGAGAGCCGTTGTTGATGAACTCTCGCGATGGAAGAATAATTACTGTTGGTCCCACCCTCCAGTGACAAGTTTGTTTTTTAAATCGAAGTGCTTCCCCAGGGACTCGCACCCTGTTTCCTTACCAAAGAAACTTACTAGGCTCAAACTGCGTTGTTGGCCCCCCGGACTACAGCAACAACGGTTCCCACCTGAGACTTCCTCACCCTTTAACCAGGACCCCCGCTCCCGCCTGATATTCCCTCGCAGTTTATTCAGAAATCGCACTCTCGCGTGGGGCTTCCTTGCCATGTACTCAAGAATCGCTCTCTCGGCGCTCTGGAGTCGCGCTCTCGCTGGAGACTTGCTAACAAGTTACTTAAAAATCGCGCTGTCGCGATGGAATTCCTTACAACTTACTCACGCGCCGTGCTCCCGACACTCAGGCACCCAGGGGTCGTGCTCACGCTTAGGACTCCCCCACAGCTAACTTAGGAATCGGGATCTCGCTGCCCGTCGTGGCCCCGTTGCAGCCATTCGTGGCCCCCTCGCTGCCCTTCGTGGACCCGTTGCAGCCAATCGTGGCCCCCCAGCTGCCCTTCGTGGACCTGTTGCAGCCCTTCGTGGTTCCGTTGCTGCCAATCGTGGCCCCGTTGCAGCCCTCCGTAGCCCCTCGCTGCCCTTCGTGGCCCCGTTGCACCCTTTCGTGGCCCCCCTCGCTGCTCTTCGCGGCCCCGTTGCAGCCATTCGTGGCCACCTCGCCGTCCTTCGTGGCCCCGTTGCAGCCCTTCGCGGCCCCTCGCTGCCCTTCTTGGCCCCGTTGCAGGCCTTCGTGGCTCGCGGCCCCATATATGCATGCCCTTCGAGGCCCCCGCTCGTTCGCGCCCGCCGTGGCCCTATGTGTGCGCGCTGCGTGGCCCCGCCGTCGCCTTTCGCGGACCCCATCGCTGCCCTGCGCGGCCCCCTCGCTGCCCTCAGTGGCCCCGTCCGTGCCCTCTGCGGCCCCATATATACGTATGCCCCTCGTGGCCCCCGCTCGTTCGCGCCCGTCGTGGCCCCACATGCACGCCCTCCGTGGCCCCGCCGTCGCCCCTTGCGGCCCCCATCGCTGTCCTGCGTGGCCCCGTTTGCTGCCCTCGGTGGCCCCGTCGTTGCCCTCTGTGGCTCGTTCGCGCCCTTCGTGGCCACATACGCATGCCCTTCGTGGCCCCGCTGTCGCTTTCACTCTCGCTCTCGCTCTCGCTCTCGCTTTCCGTTCGTCGTCGTCGTCGTCGTCGTCGTCCTCGTCGTCGTCGTCGTCGCGGTCGGTCCCCTGTCCGTCCCTCTTGGGGTCGGGCTGCCGCCGATCAGCGCTGCTGCTGGCAAGGCCGACGGCCCGCGGCAGCCCCGCCGCTTGCCGGGGCCCAGCCTCCAAAAGGGGCACGATCGAAGACGAAGAGGGCGGGCATCGAGGGCTTGGGGAATACACGTTGAATGACACTCGAGCAGATAAGCGCGAACAAAGTTCAAATGATTGTTGTTGTTGCTGTTGTAATTCGGGGCCGTTACCTCCGCTGTTGTTCCCAAGTCTTGTGCTGTCTGCGACTGTGGGCAGCCTGAACTCGGCGCGCATGTCGCGTTTGATATACACGGTCGCTGCTGCATTATACGAGGTCATGTTATGTTCTGCTCTGTTTCGTCGTACTAACATGTGGTTTATCGTGTTGAGTTCTGATCGGGGCGGCGTGAAGTCGTGACGCCTGTCATGTTTGATATGTCGTCTAACCGGTCATTGCTACGCATGTCTGCTCATGTGGCCAGCCTTACGTAGGCTCGCATGGGGCATGTGATATTGCACCGTTAATCGGCCGCTGCTGCATTCTACAATATGAAACGATGCTATGTCCAATCATGTTCTACTCTATGGTGCTCTGTTATATTATGTTCTAGTCTGAACGGGACGTATCGACATCGTGATGCCTGTCACGTTTGATACGTCGCCCGATCGGTCGTTACTGTGCCTCCTTGTTCCTGTGGCCCACTCGACCTTGGCGCGCATTTCGTGTTTGACAGGACGCCACTGGTTGGTCGCTGATGGTTTCTCTTCTGGCATGCTCGGCAATGTTCGATACTGGACAAGTTGAATGTACTGCATCACGCTATAACTTTCTAGTTTCTGGTATTACAATAAACTCGGTCCTGATATGTTGTGTTACGTCTAACAATTGTCCATCATATTCTAGTTAAGAGTGCCATGATATGTTATGGAATCAGATACGTAGTTTTTAGTGCGAATGTTATTTGAGTGATGTGTTCGGATATAATCTCTCCACTTTTCCCTGAGCAGAACAGCGAACTCAGAATTACATAGCGAACGGACGCGCTGTGAAATTATTAAAGCGAACCCAAATCTTCACTCTTGTGAACTGTTATCTTAGCTGGGTAGTGCAACATTGCTCTGAAACCGCACTCAAGTTACGTTATGCTGTACACTCTTAACCACAATGCCATGATAATGCAGTTCACTACATGTATGGACTGCTATGTGTACTGCGTTGTGCTAGCATTCGTAAAACTGTGTGGTTGTCAAGCCGGTTCGATCTTCCATGGTTATAGAACGTGTTGTGGAATCATGCTGTACGGTACGCTCTCTTCTGTTCTGCGATCGGATAATCAAGAACCTGTTCATGTCATTACATTGCGCTGTGATCTGCAATTGTTGTAGTGATAGCAGTAGTAGATCAATTATGACATGCTGTCCTGTAGGTACGGACTGTTACACCGCTTTATGTCACACTGTCGCAGTAGTATGTGTTATGATATTACCAGTAATGGGTTGCCGTCCTAAGATATGTTACGCCATGCATTAGTATGATGTGTTATGGCATCGCATGGCATTTTGTGTCCTGATAGGTTGCGTTTGCATCTTATGTGGCGCAGTATGATTTGGCTATGTGTTCTCAATGTGTGATATAGTCTAGCTGTTGCCGTAGTGGCAACATTAGTATAACAATTGTGCTAGGGTCTCGTATGCTCTGGTATGCCCTCCTATGCGATGGCATGGTGTGCTATGATCCAATCTAATATGTTGGATGCTGATATCTGATATTACGGAATGGTTTTGCGTGCTGTGGTGTGGCATGGCATGGTGTGGTATGGTTGTGTGCAGTATAGTATGCCTTGATCGGGTATACTCTGTCACGCTGTTATGCCGTATTATGTGTGGTGTGATACATGTGTCCGTTGTTGCTGTGCTCTTCATGCCGGTTAATCATGCCTCTTTGCTCGTGTGTCGTGACGCATGGACGGCGTTACGCCGTGACGCCTACCCCTCGGGGCTGTCTGGTATGCAGGGTGTCGTCCTTCGTCGAGGACGCGAGGCGGGACACTCAGCGATTCCTGGGATCCTGCGAGGTCCTGCGACCGCGGTATTGCGTCGTCCTTCGTCGAGAACACGGGGCGGGACACTCAGGGATTCCTGGGATCCGATGGGGTCTGGCGACCGCGGTGTGCAGGGTGGGCAGACGGGAGTTTTCATCTGACAGCCGCAACCTGTCGGGCGGAGAACAAAGGTTCGGCCTTGTTGATTCGATTGGGCCGTCTTTCTTTTTTTCTGCGCCGTGCCGCCGCCTCCAGAGGAGGCCACGCTCCGAGAACTTGCGCGCCGCACGGAAAGACCGCGGCGCTCGTCGTCGTCGTCGTCGTCGCGGTCGACTTCCCATTGTCATCACCGTCGTCATCCTCCTCATCCACCTCATCATCATCCTTGTCCCCCTGCTTGACTTCCTGCTCCTTCTACTTTTCCCTCTCCCCCAAGTCCTCCATGCTTTCCCCTGGCCCCTGGCCCCTCGCGCTGCAAAGACCATTCAAGGGTCAAGATCTCACTCGACACCTGTATTGGAGAATCGAGCAGACTGGGCACAACAGAGAAATTGGATGGAGGGGTAGGATGCCAGACGTGACGCGAACGCGCTCGTCTTGACCTCCTCCTCCTCCTCCTCCTCCTCCTCCTCCTCCTCCCCCTCCTCCTCCTCCTCCTCACCCTCCTCCTCCTCCTCCTCCTCCTCCTCCTCCTCCTCCTCCTCCTCCCCCTCCTCATGCTCCTCCTCCTCCTCATGTGGCAAGGCCTCAGGCCTTACCCAGGACAATGCATCAGGGAGGACCCAGCGCGGCGTGCCGGGGCTGCCTCTCAGGACAACAGCCGCAGAGGCGCGTTACTGAGGTTCTCCCTCACTTTGGCAACGCGCTGGGAGACCTTTGGGAGTACAGTCGGGGCCTTGACCTAAGGAACCCTAAATAGGGAACGAGGCCCTTATTTTACATAAGTTAAACTTCGATTTCGTATCGAAAACCTAAGGAAAACCTGAGGCAAGCTGCGAAACACTTAAGGAACGCGGAGCCCCTCCCCAACCAAAAGGGTTCCGTCTTCAGGGCCCCGACTGTAGCGTGAATGGGTTGCCGCGGAGTCACAGGCCTCCTCATCGATTTCTAAGCCCCCCCCTCCCCCTCCCCAACCAAGCCAGTGGGCCAAACCTGTCAGGTCTTAGAGCAGCGGCTGAGCCGATCCGGGGCAGAGAACAGCGACGAGAGGCGGCACAGGTCGGAACGAGAGTTCCCTTGCTGCCCTCCCTCCTGCCTTTGTCCTCTCCTCCTCAGACGGCTTGGACTCCTCGTTCCACACATCCTCCCAGTGGCCGATGTTGATGGCCAAATTCTGCCCATACTCGCGTAGCCCTGGGAACAACTGCATCTGCGCGACGAAAAAAGGGGCAATCATGAATTCTATGAACCCTATCTGGGAATTCGGTATGTTCAGGTGATCCCGGTCGTTCAGAAACTGAACGGGTATGCCCTTCAGCTTCTCCTGATCGCCCTGCAAGAAGAATTCTTCCAGAACCCTGAGCCCCCATTCCTGAGTGACCTCCCATGTTCTGCAGGGGTTAGACACGTCAGCTGAGTGCAAAACCATGTTCATCGCCAGCACCTTGTGGTCTGACTTCTTGAAGAGAGCCGCCTCCTCAATCACTATGTCCGTGTCGCCTTCTTTGAAGGCCTCTGAGTTCACCTGGTAAAGGAGGCTGAGGTCCTTGACCATCTGCTGGTGCGAGATCATGTCAGTATGCAAGATTGCCTCGATGCAAGAGCGTCGAACCTCCTTATACTGGGCTCTGCTCAGCCTGTGAAGCACGTTGCTCTCTGGTCTCTGCAGAATGCTGTACAGGGTGGCGCAATGCATATTCTCCAATGGAGATTTGTCGTTGTAACGCACCGCAAGCTCGTCGCCCACCTCTCAGAAGGCCCAGAAAAATAGTTTCATGGGCCACTGCATTCTCTCAGGGTATGGGTGGAACTGGGGGGGAAGAAGGGGAGGCGCACTGAGCAGAAAGGAACAGCGAGGCGCACGCAAACCCCATCCTCTCACTCCCACCGCGTGCCTCGAGCAGGAAGCCGTTGTTCACTCCTGGGTGCCCAACGTCGTGGCCTACTGCTGCAACGAGCAGGCTGAACTGATCGAGCTCGCTCAGGAACCTCTCGGAGCCCGCCAGTCGCATGATCTTTGCTGTGCCATGGACCACGTCCGACGCGTGGGCAAAGTTGTGGAAGGGGTTGGCCTTGTACTCCTTCTCGCATGACTGGACGAAGCAACTCAGCACATCCACGGCATCCTTTCAGACGCTTGTCGAGGGGGAGTTCCAGGAAGAGCTGATTGGTGTCGGGGGCCCTCCTCCCCGCCCCATTACCCCCCCACTTTGCCCGACACTCCTTGCTGGTTTATGCACCGCCGCTCCTCTGATGCCTGGCCACACGTGCACGAGCTAAAGAGGCACGGGACTCCAGCGCCTGATATTCGGCGTTTCGACATTGGGCGGAAGGGGGGGGTAGGGAGGGGGTCTGGCTCCGGACCTCTGCTTAGTGAGACTGCTTGCAGTAGTGCGTCCTATGGGGAGACTCCACCTGCTCGAAACAGGCGCCAAAAAACAGCCACGCTCTGCTCCACGAGGGGAGGGGGAAGTGGAGTACGAGGGCCGCGCCGATCGGCAGAACAGTGGATAAGAGAACGCTCACATAGTTGCGATGACCTCCTTGCACGGAAAGCGCGAGGTCTGCGACACCGCGGTCACACGGGGAGCCGCCTCGCCGGGCATGCACTGGCCCCGGCAGCCCGAGCATCCAAGGAGGGAGGCGTTGAACTCTGACGGCCTGCCCCGCTCGAAAGAGGGTCGGGGGGACACAGTTGGGGGGGCGTTGACCTAAGGAACGATAGATAAGGAGCGAGGCCTCTTGTCTCCATGAGGAACCCTAGATAAAGAACCCTAGATAAGGAACGAGGATAGATAAGGAACCCTAGATAAGGAACGAGGCCTCTCGTTGCCATAAGCTCAACTTCGATCTCCCAGCGAAAACCTAAATAAAACGTGAGGCAAGCTGTAAAACAATCGAGGAGCACCGAGCCCCTCCCCAACGAGAGGGGTTCCTTCTTCGGCGCCCCAACTGTACTTCCCCCCTGGTTGGGCGTTTTTCCGCAAGCCCACTTCCGACTGGCACGCGGTCCTGGTTGGGGAAGAAGCCTTCTTGCTTGTCGTGGAACTCGGAGATCGTATACGTGGCCACCGCGCAATGTTGTACGTTCGTCATGGGAAGGGAGTTGAAGGCCCAGGAATCCAGCGTGCCCACGGACAGGCCAAAAGGCTCCAGCTCGAACTCTGCTGCTCCCACGCTCCTCAGCCCAACAATGGTGGACTTCCACTGACGCCGCTTATCAGCCGACGCGCTGACCCCTCTCAAGCTGCCCCTGTCGTTCATCATGTTCAGGATGCCCACGTCCTCCGCAGCGCCGCGCGGGGAGGGAACCAACGACTGTCAGAACGTGTTGGCCGCAGGCTCTGCCCGGGACCGCGCAGTCACGTGCTCTCTGTTCGCGGCGGGGCCGAGTAAGGCCGACGTCCGTCCAGTGAGGGCCAATCGAGCCCCAGACAAGACCGGAAGCAAACTGCCCCAGAGGAACAGTGCAGGCCCCTCATGCATACATCAGATAGGATACGAAGCTACACGTCGTTCATTTCTGAACGTGGTCATTTCTAATCGTGCTCGCTTCTAGTTGTTCCTGGCCCTTCAGTGGCCAGGATGAGGCCCAGGACAGAACAATTAGAAACGAAAGGATTTTGGCCGTCCAAAAGTCAAAGAACGTTCGAATACTTAGAAATGAACAATGTGTACACTATCACGACCTCAAAGTGATCACATAGCCGCTCCAACAACGCAGGAAAAACATAGCGGTCGGGGCCTCGCTTTCATGCGCTGCCACGCTGGAGCAACCCACCGGGCCCTCGCAAGAGGAACGCTGCAGGATGTCGCGGGAGGAACACGCAGAGACATGAGGGGGGAAGAGGAGAAGCAGCAGCAGCGGCAGGACAAGGACGGCCAGAGTCGGATCAGTACGAAGGACACCCTTGCGGCAGAGGAGCCGACACGACTTCGCACACTTGAAGAGCGGGGGCCACGATGGGAGCCCGCGAGGGGGGGCCACGGTACAGTCAAAAACCCTAATAAGGACGCGCGGTAAGCACGCAAGACCCTTGGAAGCCGAAGTTGGGATTTTTGGGGCGGCGGACGACGAAAACCCCAAGGACGCAAGAGCAAGGAAGAGCAAGGACGCAGGGGTACCCTGAGCAAAGTCGCGCGTCCTTATTGGGGTTCTTGCCTGCAGGAGGGCCGCGACGGGGTGGGGCAAGATGGGAGCGCCGCGAGGGCCGCCGACGTCGGGAGGCCCGGCTCCCTCGCTGGCCGTCATAGAGGCATCACGTCGAGGCCTCGCAGACGAGATGGTGAAGAAGCAGTGGCAAAACCTGACGTTGTCACGAGCCCCGACCTTGGAGGACAAGTGGGCGTGAATTGCGAGACGGAGAACAACGAAGAAGAGGATGCCTATAGGACGCATTCTGCTGGTTCCCGTGTTGTCCGTTTGCCGCCGCTTGCCGTTTGCCGCTGTGACGCTGTGTCGAGGCGCCTCCAGCCGTCCTGGGCCTCTGTTGGGGGAGTCCTGAAGAGGCAGTGGCAAAAAAAAGGCAGCCGCTTCCTCCAGGAAGCCAGAGACCAACCAACAAGCCCGGCCATAAAAAAACACAGCCGAGGCCAGCGGCGCCAGACCTCGGACGATCACTGGGTCGGATACCCTGGGGGAAGCTGCCTGGCTGAGCAGGGGCACGCCGCTGGACCATGATCGTGAAGCTGGCCCTGGTGCCCCCATGGGGGCGGCAGAGTCTGGGCGGGCACACTCCCCTGGCAAAGAGCACGTCTGCTCGACAAGAACAGACCCCCGAACATCGGGCACCGCATCAGCAGCTGACTTGTCTGGCGCATGACGTAGAAGCACTGCCAACAACGACAACGTATCCTCAGCGTGGCTGCCGTCGTCATGGTAGTCAGGCGGGGGGCCTTCCCTATCCCACGCGACGTCGACCTGCGCCCATCGCTCCAGGCAAGCCAGCGAGCAAGCCCAGCACAGGAGAGGGCTGATCACAGGTGCAGGTACAAGTCAACGGTATTCCGAATGATGAGAGGAGGAGGAGGAGGAGGAGGAGGAGACCAGCGTAGGAGAGGTTCGTCACGCCTTCCTATCGCGGCGGCAGGCGGCCAATGCCGCGCCCAAGCCGCAGCGTGGGGGCATTCGCCGAGGACGCAGGCTGCGTGCGGGGAAGAGAGTCGGGGGAGACAGCAGCAGCAGCACCAGGGAGACTCACCCGAGGACGAGGGGAGCGAGGAGAGAGAGGACAGCGGCCCGCAGACTCCGTGACAGCGGGGACCGTGGGAGCACTACAGTCCCCAGAGGAGTCAAACACATATTGAGGGCGATCAGCAATCGGGGATGTGGCATTGGAGGAGGTGCAAGACAAGTAACCAGGCGAAAGATACGAGACGGGCAGAAGAGCAGGGCGGTCACGGTCAGATGAGGACTGCGAAGGCGACGAGCTCGACGAAATGGCAATCGAGATCGAACTGGTCCACCTCTGGATCTGAGAAGGAAATACATGCTCACGCGACTCAATATCCTCAGGGTCGGTAGCGATCTCAGTAGGGGGCGTCGACGGCGAGGAGACAGCAGGAGTGAGGCCACCGACAGGCGACGGCGGCTGTGGCGACGCAGATCGGCTAGGCGAGACAGAGACAGGCGGGGTCAGCCTCGGCGAGCGACACGAAGATGAACTCGTAGAGGAAGCCGAGGAGGACGAAGGCGAGGGACACGTACGGCGCGGGCGAAGCCGCAAGCGATCACGGGCCGAGATCCCAACTGGGCGAGCCAACGCCGCCGAGCGCACCCCAGCCAGGGCACATGAGAAGGCGGACTCGTCCGAAAGCGGCCATCCCTCCACACACTTGGCTGCGTTGTAGGCGGCGTACGCGACTGCGAGGAAGTGAAAGGCGGGCAGATTCGGCTCAAGCAGCCCCCATCGATGAAGCACAGGCAGAGGTAGAGGGCGAACCAGGGCACGACGAAGAGCGCGGTGAAAGGGGCGGCAACGGGCGTAATGTCGAAGAGCGTCGGGGCAGCCAGGACACCCGAAGGCACAGCGACGCTTGCCAAGGGGGTGCAGGATGCGGTACGACGTCATCCAGCCGTCAGCCCAGGTACGAAGCGCAGCCCAGGCCCAGGAGCAGGGGCAGGATGCCAACGTGCTCGCGATTGAGTCCCACGGGAGGGAGGTGACCAGGGAGGCGTGCCGTGGGAGCAGCTTGGCAAGGCGCGTCTGGAGCAGGGACACCAGCGGCGAGACGGCGGGGCCAAGAGCACGCAGAGCAGCATGAGCAGCACGTTGAGGGCGAGGACGATGGGCTGTATCCTCGGCCAGCGCGGCACGCGCCGCGGCCGCAGCCACAGCAGGCCAGTCTGGAGACCAGCACGGTGACGGTGAGCCAGTGCGGGTACCAGCAGCAGCCCGCTGGAGGATCTCCACGAACGCCTCCGAGCGCCAGAAGTGCGGGTAGCATCTGCCAGAGCCAAGCATCTCCAGGGTGCACCAATCAGGATGAGTAGCCACATGATGTCGGAGCCGATTGTGGATGTCGTAGTACTGCGGGAACGTATGAAGAGCTGCACGGGCAAGCGCCGCACATCCCATGAAGGCCCAGCGCGTGATGCGAGGACCTCCCCAGGCGTGAAGTAGGGACCAGCAGGAAAGCGGGAACGTGCCCAAGGCTACCCGGAAGACCTGCGCCAAGATCATGAGCTCCAGGCGAAGAACAACCAGCGGCATGTGGCAGAACTGGGTGACATATGATAATGTCGGGACCGCACGTGTGCAATAGAGTATGGCCGATAGACTGGGCGGGGTTGTCCCACGGCCAATAGCTTGAGCCCGATGCTGTATCTTGGCCAACGGAGCACGCCATTGTCGTTCAACGGTCACAGAGGGACCAAGCCAGAGCCCCAGATATTGCAGCTCCTCCACGACGCCAACGGAGGCCCACTCGGGGACCCATAGACGAAGTTGTTCGGCCACAGCAGCAGCCAGCTCCTCAGAGAAGACGCCCGAGAGGGGGACCAGGAGGCACTTGGAGAGCTTCAGGGAGAGGTTAGCAAACGATTCCGCCAAGACCATCACCCGATGTACAGGGACGAGGTCCGCCACAGACCGAGTCGTACCACCAACATCGTCAGCGCAGGCCCGAACTATCCCACGACCAGAGGGCTCCAGGGAGAACACAAGGTCCTTGAGGAAGGCAGAGGTAGCGAGGGCGAAGAGAGAGCCCGAGAGCGCACAACCCTGAATAATCCCACTGCGAATCCAGAATATCGGCACAAATTCCCCATTCACCGAGGCCACGCCCTGAATGGCCGCATAGAGAAACGAAACGAAAGCCAAGAAGGATTCAGGGAGCCCCAGTACCTGAAGAACAAATGCCATAAACTCTTGGTTGAGTGAAGGGAACGCCTGGCCGAAATCGAGCGAGAAGAGAAGCGGGATGTCGGGCGACCCAGGGGGGCCCACTGAAAGCTCGCGAGCGTGTGCATCCAGCTCCAGAATGTTGACTCCGAAGTTGCGACCACCGACGAACCCTCGTTGGCAAGGCGGAACGATATGATGGATGAGGGGTTGGAGAGCACGATTCATGACGGATGACAGCAACTTGACGTCTGTGTTCCGCAAGCCAAGGACGCGAACCTTGTCGGGCGAGCGAGTACATTCCCCATCACGCAACTCAACGTCTGTGACGAGCTTCGGGAGAAAAGCCTGGATAGTGATGGAGGAGCAATCGAAGAGAGCCTGACCATCGCCAATCCAATCGAGGGCATCCATCAACACATGAAGACCAAAAGGTAACGCTTCCCAAGAGGCGCAGGGTAGACCGTCAATGCCAGGGGCGGAGTCCCGGGCCGCACGGAGGGCCCGTCGAAGCTGTGCCAAGTTCGGGGGCGGGAGATCGATGGTGTTCACGGGGTCGAGCCAGGAGGGGATATAAGCCCGAGCCGCATCGATATCCCAAGACTTCCGCGAAAAGACAGGTTTCCAGTAGGACGCCAGGGCCTCCACGCGCTCGACGGGGTCAGAAACCAGACAGTCATCCGAAACCCGCATCGACGACAAAGCCAAAGAGCGAGAGAATGGTGACCAGAGCCTCGCCTTCCTCTCCAACGCGCGCAACTGAAGACGGGTGGCCCGAACAGAAGGTTGGCGAGAAAGTTGGGATTCCAGAGCACGCCGACGTACCTCCGCAGCTTGCCGTTGGATGGACGATGCCCATTCTGAGAAAGACGAGGGGTGGATGAGTGCAACCTCGGAGGAGCGGACGGTGATGTGATCACGGACACGAGGGTGAGATTCCAG